CCCCCGCCCCCAGTCTGGCCCCCACCTCCTGATCTCCCAGACCCCCCGTGAGTCACGCGGTAGGTGTCAGGAGTGTGGCCGGCAGAGCCCTCACCTGAAGAGGTCCAGTTCGTAGACGCTGCTGAGAGCGAGCGGGGCCGGCAGGAGGGCCTGAACAAAACACAAAGGCCGCAAGGTTCAGTCCACCAGGAGCCGGGACACCCTCGGCTGGACCTGGGGCTCCTCCAGAACCCCGCCCTGGTCCCCGCGGCATCAGCCAATGAAGAAGGTCGCTGCCCAGAGGTCACCCTGGGAAACGGGCGGGCACTGGACGCCTCGGGGAGGCCAGGCAGGAGACAGCCCCTGGAGGGGTCCTTCCCCCCCCCCGAGACCACCAGCGAATCCACAGCCGTTCAGAAGCACATCACATCTCCTCAGGGGCCAGAGACTGGGGTGCGCACTGGGGGTGTGCGTGAGAGGACGCTTAGAGCTGTCCCCGTGCCCTACCTGTCAGCCCAGAGAGAAAGACCTGGGGAAGGCCATCCAGACAACCCTCCTCCTGTGGGGCTTTGGCCTGGGTAGAAATGGGTGTGGCCCTGTGAGGCAAAGAGTTTCGCCAGGAGAAGAACCCCCCCCCCCGCACACACACACCCGGAGGCAGCCTGATCCTCTGGATCCCAGGGCCAGGAAGCAACATCAGGGGACGGCCTCGGCCTCCCTGCCCTGTTCTTGGCCCTCCAGAGGAACTGGCTGGCCCCTGTGGGAGAAGACAGGATGCCAGCCTACATGGGACCACCGGCTCTTCTGATGCTCTTGTGGGAAGTCGTGGAGTCCTGCCACGCGAGCGCCAGCTGGCACGTGGAGCCCCCGGTTTTGTGATGGGCTCTGTCCACGAGCCCTTCTCCAACCAGGTGCCCGCCTCTGTCGCGGCCATCCCTCCGGCCTGGCCCTGGGGCCTCCCAAGCACAGTGGGACTTGGCTACATATGCATGCAGGGACACTGAAGACTGGTGGGCCTGGGAAGGGGACCCCCCCCAAACACACACACACAGAGCTCCAGGCTGGGGCGGGGGGGGGCGGGGGGGGGGCACTGCAGCTTCCCAGACAGCCTGGGCAGCTTCCTGCCAGTTGCATCGGGCCCGTCTAGGCGGAGTCTGCCACAAGTTGCCCTTCCCCTTTCCACACAGATTCTCTCCCGTGCTTCCAGTCTTCTGTCCCTGTGGCCCCACCCGAGTGCCAGTTTTGGGGTCTCAGCACCAGTTGAAAAACACATCATGGCCCCTCTAGCAGTGCACCGCACACAGAGAAGAGACGGAGAGAGTGTGCGGGCGCACAGACACACACGCAGCCCCTGGTGGTCTCACCGTCCTGCCCAGAAGACTCTCACCTCCTGACTGACTGACAGGTCTGGGCTGGATCCAGGCTTCTCCACCCTTGAGGGCACTCTCACCTGTGCGACAGAAGAGGCACCCCAAGGCGTGGGTGTCACGAGACCGCAGGGGGGCTTTTGGCAAAACACACACTCTCCTCCCTACCCGCCCACAAGACACCTGAATGACGACGCCCATCACAGGCAGGTTCAGCCTCCGGCCAGGCACGGGGGGCGGCCACTGGTCGATCTCGCTGCACACTGGAAGAAGAAACACCAGAACACAAAGGCAGCGCCTCGGACTCCGACCGGGAGAGCCCCGGAGGCTCAGCAGGGCCGACCTCCAGAGGATACCGGCAGGTGGGAGGCAGGGGCCGGCTTGACTCGGGCGCCTCTCGGAGTCTCCTCCAGGCCCCCAGGAGGGGTCAGTCACCAGAGGGCGCCATGACTTCCAGAGGCGCGCGCACACACGCACACATACGCGAAATACAAAAAAACACACACACACACCCCAAGAAAAGGAAGCTGCTTTTGAAGCCAATCGGGCAGAAAAAAAGAAGAATGTGCAACAAAAGGAAAGCTAAGAAAGGTAAAACGCAGGAGCAGAGCTGAGACAGGCGGCACTCTGGCCCACCGGCAACACTGGGGGGGGGGGGTTGCGCCCCCCACCCACGGGCCTGGTACTCCCAGCTGCAGCGGCACCTGCCAAGGAGGGGTCCGCCTCCACCAGCCAGCTTGGCCGCTGGAGAAGGACCCGGATGCTGCCATGGCCACAAGAACCCATCCTGTTGCTCCAAGAGCACACCTGAGCCGTGGGGGAGCTGAGCTAACTAACGGTCTCTAGCGGCCGAGGAAAGGGTTCCCGGCGGAGGCCTCCCACCAGCAGCTGCCTATGAGAAGTCAGGCCAGCCCGCTTTACGCCATCCCAACAGGGCAAGCTTTGGCTCACTTGGATCGTGGAAGCACCCTCACGATGTGCCACCGCCTCTGCAGCTGGAGAGCAGTGCATCTCTGCCCCCCGCCCCGCCCCCCCCCGGGCACAGAGAGGTCAAGGAAAGATCCCCCAGCTCCATGCCGACGACCCTGGGCCGGAGGTGCTGCTGCGTGTCCCTGCGCTCAGAGCACGTTCCTCAGCCGGCGCCCGCTCCTCACCTGCCTCCAGACACGGGTCCAACTTGTCAAAGTACTCGGGAGCGATGAGCTGCAGCAGACACTGGAAAAGGTTCACATAAGGCAGGCGAGACACCAGGACGAGGGACTGAGAGAGAGAGAGAGAGGAGGACACCCCCTCAGGCAAGAAGGGCGTGGGCGTGCACACCCCAGCTCCGCCCAGCACAACGACCTCACGCTGCCCAGAGGGTCCCGCGGGTGAGGGGCTCACTGGCTGGGCTTCTTGGTGCCCCCCCCCCACAGCAGGTGTGGGGCAGATGCTACACTGGCGGCATTGCTTCCCACGGTGGTCTCAAAGTCACACTCCAGGGCACGTGAGTCAGGTGAGAGTGGGGGGGGGGGAAGGGTTCCCGCAAAGCAGCCCAGCTCTCCACGGGGCGGGCCAACAAGAAGCCTCTGAAGGGGCCGTCCCCGGTGCTGAAGGCCTGACGGGCTTTCTCTCAGTATTCCCTGTGGGGAAGAAGGCTGAGAGACTCGGGCCTCCTCCACGGCACCTGTCATCGCCTTTGAAGGAGAGGCCAGCTATAGCCCTTCCTCGAACAGCACGGTCTGGCCACAGTGACCCATCCAGGTAAGACTACTGTAATGCACACTATGTGGGACTCAGGGACCGGGCAGCAGAGTGCCAGTTTTGCCTGGCATGCCGTCGTCATGCCAAAGGATCGGGTGGGAAGGGGCCGGGGAGGACCTCTGCCTGAGACCCCAGAGAGCTGCTGCCAGGCAGAGCCGGTGAGGTCGACCGTCACCCGTCCAGAGGGACAGCCTTTGCACCGCCTCCGAGGGCTTTGGATGGCCGAAGGGCTTTTTGGCACAGCCATGCCTCAAAGCACCCCCCCCCCCGCTCACCTTCTGGAAATAGCCTCTCTTCACAGAATCGTCTTTCACTTGCCGGAAGTACACGTAGCCGAAATAATGAGCAGGCTCCCGCTACAGGACGGAAGCAGAGGTGCTTATTGTGAAATCCGCGTCAGGCAAACGACGCAACAGATACCTCGTCTGGCCGTGTTACACCTCTGTCCCCCCTGACTGCAGCTCCCCCCC